GACTGTTCCTGAAATTGTTTCAGAAATAATATAAAGTATACGTGTGAGAGAGAGAATATATCTCTATCTCTATCTCTATCTGTCCGTCTATCTATCTATCTATCTATCTATCTATCTATCTATCTATCTATCTATCGAGAGAATATAGAGAGAAAGACAGACAGACACAGGAGGGCCAGGCAGGAGAGAGAAAAAAAGATGAAAAGGAAGAGAAGACAGATGGAAGAAGAGAAAGAAGGAGATTAGAGACAGTGGCCTTAAGAACCGGGGTATAATTTATGATGTGACTGTGTTCGTATTGTTTGTGAGGCAGTTATTTGAATTTATAACCCATTTTTCCATAGAAACTATGTTATAAGGGACAGATTGACCAGCGAGTCAGCGGAACATATTGTAATGTGAAAAATGTATATTTACTTTGAAAGTAATACTACTGAAATCCTGTTGATAAAACCAAAACAGAGAAAGAAATATTAAGTAGGCAGTGAGGACTGCTTATGTGTTGTTTTCCTCCCCCAGGACTGCCTGGTTCTCACTTTTTAATCCAGAAGTAGACATCGATTTGTGTTTGCTCCTGCCCTACCTATTCACATGTTATTGAAGATTTACTCCTGTCTAGAGCTTTTGTGCTAGAATACATTTCCATTCCAGACAGCATAGTTTGTCATGACAGAATAGTTTGTAATGCCAGAATAGTTTGTAATGCTACCTGTTATGATTTGGAAGAAAATATAGACCAGAGGAATTATATCCTTCAGATTTCATCCTTTCCCTTCTTTTTCTTCCTCCCAACATTAATTACATTCTTATAATGTTTGGGTTCAGTGGTGAGAGAAGCTCAGAGACTGCCTCATGGGAGTGTACAGCATAGTAGAGGAGGTAGATGGTAAGTGGAAAAACAAACAAAAATGAAATAACAAAGTTCAAAAAAGATAGACAAACAAGGTCCTGAGGCAGGAATGGGGTAGAGGAGGTTACTGAGCAGATAGAAAACTGGGAGTCACTGGGTGAGACTCTCCAACTCCACCTCAACAGATCAGGGAAGACGAGAGAGGCTCCTCTGTGCCCTTTCATGTGTTCCTCTCTCTTTCCTGATAAATGGCAAAGAGGAGGCTGGCTTTCCTATGCCAAAAACGCACTCTGTTAGGAAGGCAGTTCATAAGTTAAGCGTCTAAAATTTGCTGATGTAGTCTGAGTATAATTCTTCTGGTCTGTATTTTCTTCCAAATCATAGCAGGTAGGATTACAAACTATTCTGTCATCTTGGCAATTCATGAAAACTTGGTCGATAGAGATATTTATGCTGTGGAAATGGATCCTTATAATTTATGGAAAAACTTTGAAAACAGAAAAAGAATCCCTAAAGTTTACATATTTTGTGACGCAAAGAGATGAAGATCCTTTCATTGTGTGTGAATAATGGTCTCAAGTAGTTATAAGGAATGATCTGGCTCCACTAAAAACAACGTGTTCATTTTATAATGTGGCAGCCAAGAAAACTAATGGAGCTTAAGTTGTAAGGACAGAAGCTCTTAGAAAAATGCTTTAAAGCTAATTAAACACAGCTTGTGGCAGTCTGGTGGTGATTCACCTCTGAAAGCAGATTGACACATATAAACACTAACTCTTGAGATTAAAACTGAGGGCAAGGGCTGTATCTCATTGGGAAATGATTATGTTGCTTTAAGATACAAGTACATTCACATGTCAATACTTTGAATTTTAAAGGATAGTATTTGTCAGTCTTAAAAGTAATTTAATCCTATAAGTAATTCACCCTCTAAGTGGCAAATTATACCTATTTAATTTTCATCCAGGTGACTGCAAATTGAGTTTTCTAACACTGGCTAGATTTATTATAACTTGTTCCAACCATGAATAATTTATATTTAAGAATCATATTCTTTTAGTTATTTATTTAACACATATTTATTGAGTGTCCAATTTGTGCCAGACATTGTACAAGTTCAGGAGAATGTAAAAATTGATTAGTCATGGCCCTGCCTTCAGGAAATCAGAAGAGCCAATAGATGACAACACAGTATGAATGTTATGGAAGTAGGCACTAGTGGGAGGACTTGAAACATTCTAGAAGATGTGCACAACCCTAGATGAGTTCAGAGCATGAAAGGGGTGTGTTCTTTTTAAAAATAATAGCATTACTGACATATAATTTACATACTACACAGTTCACCTATTTAAAGTGCGTAGGGATGCATTCTTGTATAAGGCATTCTCTTGGCCAGATTCTGGAAGATAAATAGGAGTTAGCTGGTTGTTTGACCTGGTGAGACAGGGGAATGTAGCATGTCCAAAACACAGAAGGAGAAGAAAGCATGGTACTCTGGGAAGAGCTGACACTACTTTAGTCTGCGTAGGGTACATAGAAGGGAAAGAATAGAAATAGTAGATGAGGCTCTAGGGATAAGTAGAGATCAAACAGAGAGAGATCTTATATGTCTGTGCTGTATGGACTTAAATATGAGAGTAAAGGGGGCCATTCAAAGGGTTTAAGTAGGGATGTGAGTTGATCAGATTTAGAAAAATTTAGAAAGATCACTTTGAAGCAGTGTAGAGTGGGTAAGAGTGGGTCAGGTGGAGGACAGAGCCTGCAAGCCATCTAGCTGAGCTCTGTCACTTGTAGTACCAACTAAGGCAAGAACGTTCAGAGTAGGGGTGGGTAAACTGTGTTAGGATGAAAATTGCCCCCCAAAGATTTCAGTTTCTAATTTCTGGAATCTGTAAATTTCACCTTATTTGAAGAAAAAGAAAAAGTAAAAAGAAAGAAAGAAAAAGAGAGAGAGAGAAAGAGAGAGAATATATATATATATATATATATATATATATATATAGAGAGAGAGAGAGAGAGAGAGAGAGAGAGAGAGAGAGAGAAAACCTTTGCAAATGTGATCAAGTTAAATATATAGTGATGGAGAGATTATCCTGATCCTGACCCCAGTGGACCCTAAATGTCATCACTAGTATCCTTATGAGAAAGAGACAGGGAGATTTCACACAGAGAAGAGGAGGAAGCCATGAGACCTCATGGTGCCTTGAGATGGCAGTGATGTATCCACAAGTCAAAGAATGCTGGCACATACCAGAAATTGAAAGAGGCAAGTAATGGAATCTTCCCTAGAGCTTCTAGGGGACGCACAGCCCTGCCAAGACTGATTTCAGACTTCTGGTCTCTAGAACTGTGAGAGAATAAAATTCTGTTATTTTAAGCAACTGAGTTTATGGTAAAGTGTTACAGCAGTCATTGGAAACTGGTATACTAGGCTTTTAATTTGGTCGAGTTCTTTTTTTTTTTTTATTTTTATTTTTATTTTTATTTTTGAGTTAGAGTCTCACTCTGTTGCCCAGACCGGAGTGCAGTGGCCGCTCCCGGCCACGGCAACCTCGACCTGCTGGGCTCTGGTGATCCTTCCGCCTCAGCCTTCCGAGTAGCTGGAATTACAGGTGCATGCTACCACGCCTGGCTAATTTTTTGATTTATTGTAGAGATGTGGTCTCGCCTGCCCAGGCGGGTCTCGAACCCACGGACTCAAGCAATCCACTCACCTCAGCCTCCCAAAGGTGCGAGATTACAGGCCAAGCCACCGAGCCTGGCTTGGTCGAATTCTTAACAATCATTTAATGTAATGAACCGGTGTAAAAAATGCATGTTAGTACATATTGGTGTCTATTGCATACTGTTGGTAGCAAATGTGTTGATCAAAAATATCTGGGTTTTCAGCAAGTCAATAAACAACTTGGAACCCACGGGCTCAGGCAATCCACTCACCTCAGCCTCCCAAAGGCCCAGGATTATAGGCTGAGCCACCGAGCCCGGCTTGGTCGAATTTTTAACAATCTTTTAATGTAATGAACCTGTGTAAAAAATGCATGTTAGTACATATTGGTGTATATTGCATACTGGTGGTAGCAAATGTATTGATCAAAAGTCTCTGGGCTTTCAGCAAGTCAATAAACTACTTGGTTAAAGGAAAGTTTAGTTAAAAACAAGACTCTTCAGTCACAATATTTCCTGTAGTATCAATTTTGTTAAATTCTCATGTATTTTTAAAAACTTAATTTGTCCTTTTCTAGTTTTCCTGTGTTATGAATTATTGTATTTAGTAATGTTTATTTCTTCTCTGTACTATTTATCATATTGCAAAATTGAAATAGTTTAAAAGTATGATGCATAATGTACTACATTTAAGTCATAGTTAATAAATAACCAATATATATATACATAAAACAATTCTATATTGATAAAAATCTTATATTTTGATCAAGTTTCAATTACTTTGGTTATTTTTTTCTCAGGTAGGTTTTTAATGTCTGTTATGTTTTATTTTTGCTGCCTAAGGGCATGTTATAGTTTTTGTAATAAGTTATAACAAATTTAAGACCTAGATGTTGTGTTTTTAAGTTTTTTATCTTTTTAAAAGATGCTAACCTTGCCAGTCTACATTTTAATTTTTACATTAAGAGATGAAGGAAATCCCGCGCCTTTGGGAGGCTGAGGTGAGTGGATTGCCTGAGCCCGCGGGTTCGAGACCCGCCTGGGCAGCGAGAC